AAGAGTCACAAAACAACCACAAAGAGTCACAAAACAACCACAAAGAGACACAAAACAACCACAGTCACAAAACAACCACAAAGAGACACAAAACAATCATAAAGAGTCACAAAACAACCACAGTCACAAAACGACCCCAAATAGTCGTAAAACAACCATAAAGAGTCACAAAACAACCATAAGAATCACAAAACAACAATAGAAAAATCACAAAAATACCACAGAGACACAAAACAACCATAAAGTATCACAAAACAACTACAAAGAGTCACAAAAATACCTCGAAGAGTCACAAAACAACCATAAAGTATCACAAAACAATTATAAAAAATCACAAAAATACCACTAAGAGACATAAAACAACCACAGGGCCCCCAGTACCTGAGTCCTGGTGTGAACAAACAGCAGCTGCTCCGATAGGTGGAGGCTAACGGAGGAAGGGGCGGAGTCCACCGGCACCGCCTCCTGGATGCAGAGCAGCTGTTGGCCGTTCGTCAGACTCCACTTCCTCAGACAGCCGTCAGCAGCCAATGACAGGCAGTGGGCGGGGCTATCCATCCCCCTGACGCACAGCACGGCAGCTGCCAATCAGAGACCCAGGAAACAGAGGCCTGTTCAGCTGTAGGAGGCCAGGGATGGATGTCCAACCCCGCCCACATCCAAGTCGGCCATTTTGATTAGGTCACCAATAGGAAGATCCCACGCAAGAAAATGGTAATTGCTTTATGGCAATATAGACATTGATTTAAAAAAATAGTGAAATGAATCTTGCAAACACTGAATTAAACTCATAATATTATGTAAAATAGTGGATGTTAAATAGGTTTGTACAATAAGTCCAAACAAGTTTAACCAAGGGTCAGAGTTAGGGTTAGGGTTAGGGTCTGGGTTAGGGTCAGGGTTAGGGTTAGGTTAGGACATGGTTTGTATTCCGATTTCGTTTAGACAGTAAAGTTTGGTTTCCACCTCAGAAAGCTGCTAGTCACATGACTTAATCAAAATGGCTGACTTGGATGTGGGAGGAGTTGGACATCCAGCCGAGGCTCCTACAGGCTGCAGCCAGAGGCTGCTCGGTCCGGCCGGACTGAGATGGACGGAGACTGACCTGTGTTACCCTGCAGAGAGTGAAGGAGCTGCTGGTCCTCCAGGCTCCAGACCACCACCTCACCCTGGTCTGAGCCCGCAACCAGCAGACCCAGAGCCGGACTGGAGTAGACACAGAGCACCCCTGGAACACAGCAAGGCCCCGTTTACTGGACCAGAGCTGGACCAGACGACCAGAGCTGGACCAGAACTGGGTCATAAGACCAGAACTGGACCAAAGGATCAGAGCTGGACCAGAGCTGGACCAGAGCTGGTCCAGAGCTGGACTAAAGGACCAGAGAACCAGAGCTGGACCAGAGGTTGACCAGAGGAGGACCAGAGCTGGATCAGAGCTGGATCATAAGACCAGAGCAGGACCAGAACTGGACCAAAGGATCAGAGCTTGACCAGAGCTGGACCAGAGGCTGACCAGAGGACCAGAGTTGGACCAGAACTGGATCATAGGAACAGAGCAGGACCAGAGCTGGACTAGAGCTTGACCAGAGCTGGACCAGAGGTTGACCAGAGGACCAGAGCTGGACCAG